CTATGCCATTTTCAGGCTTCTTTTTCCTGGGCAAGCTTGTCTGCCTATCACAACATTCTGGCATAGGTTTCAGAAGTCTGTATGACATACATGAATACTCCATCCTGAAGCAGAACCAAACAGCACCAGAAAGCCATCATAAATAATGTGTGTTTGTGGCATCCTAAAAGGGTGAAAGTGTGAATTCTCAAAAGCCCTGTGCCCTATTATCCTGTAGCTTCAGGCTACAGGATACATGATGTGGATACAGACTAATTAGGTAAACACAATTGCAACAAGTACCCAGGACTTAGCTAGCTCTACCAAATCAATCTTTCTTGTATACATAAGATGAATTAGCGGACCATTGTGATGATAGCTCCTTTAGAATTTCACTTACTTTAAAGCCCAAAAGGGCAAAACTTTGGCAGCAGATAAAAGACATTGTGAATGAGAAGTACCTGTGGATAAAGACAGGAACTATCTTCATTTCAGCATGTTGCAATAGTATATTGAATTCTAAGATACCACCTAAGGTAGCCTGCTTTGCTGCTGGTGGAAGTTGGTTTGCAAACACAAAGAGATAAAGAAAATAAACTGTGGCATACCCAGATTAATTGCGAACCTCAGGACTTAAACTTCTCAGTTCGTTTTCTTTTTATGTCCTGACCTCAGAACAACTTATTATAAATACTTTGCGTTGATGAGTTGAATCATTAGGTGATTAGTTGAATCATATTTTTTTCTTCTTCCTAAAAGGAAGGGAATTTTTTTCAAAGTGGGTTTGGGATCGATATTTGCTGTGTCTGTGCTATACGCATTTGAGACTATTATGCGTGGGTTTTTTATCTTGTAACATGTTAATGAACACTAGCAAGAACGTAAATTAGCAAGAACAGTTAATAACTTTCAAATCCGTAGATCACATAAGACTGAACATTGTAGTATTACGGATGCATGTACTGGGATCAAACTGCTGAATATTTTAACTCCAGGGAAATATGCTTAGTCCTTGACGCCTGTGTCAGAGTGTAAGGCAGTATTTTAGGTGGCAAACAAAGTAAATTGAAGAAGTTTACAATCACAGTTTTCATAGCTATCGTGCTCTGAATTTAGTGACTGCCCATGCTTGTAACTATACAAACTGAGGAGCATTCCTACCAGTAGTGTAACATTTAACACAGTTTAGTTGAAATTGCAGTGGAAGTGATAGTATACATTTCAGTTATCAGAGTGTTTTAATAAATTATGGTTTTAGTCTTGTTAAGAATAGGTGAAAGGTGTCACTAATCACTTATTCAGATAAATGACAGTGTAATTCTTGTCAGTTAACATTTCAGATATATATATGTAGTTAGTTGTGCTTGGAGTTTCTTGCTACTTATTGTTAAAATGCAAAGGCATCAGTCTTCCTTTTGTATTTATGCAGCATATAATTTTAAATGTTAAAATTATTTTCATCTTTCAAAAAAAATCATAATAATACTAATTTAATTGGCTGTGTAGCTATCCTGTATTTCAGCTTAAATGCTGTTTAGAATAGAGATGAAATGTTAATTTTTCTAGAACCTAAATAGAAGTTCCTGGCCAAAACATAGAGCTTAAAAGCTTGATGGAACAGATCCTTCACAGAAGCTACGTTTTACTTGGGTGGCTTTTACTTGCTATACACATGGTACTTTGTGTCATATAAATCATCTTGAAAACCCAAAAGCTTGGAATAAGAGAGTAGAATGGAATAAAATATTTCAGTTGGAAGGGATCTGCATCAATTGTGTAGTTCATGATTGGGCTGAGCACTTCTGGGCTGACTAAAGGTTAAAGCGTGTTGTTAAGGGCATTGTCCAAATGCTCCTTAAACACTTGACAGGTTCAGGACATTAACCACCCTCTCTAGGAATCCTGTTCCAGGGTTGCCCAGCTCTCTCTCTAAAGAAATGCTTCTTACTGGCAAGTCTGAACCTCCCCTGGTGCAGCTTTGAACCATTCCCACACATTGTATCACTGGCTACCAGGTAGAAGAAATCAACACCTCCCTCTCCCACTTCCCCTCCTCAAGAAGCTGTAGAGGCCAAGGAGGTCACCCCTCAGTCTTCTTTTCTCCAAACTAGACAAGCCCAAAGTCCTTAGTAGCTCCTTACATGACACTGTATCCAGTCCTTCCACCAGATTTCTTGCTGTCCTCCAGACACATTCGAGGACCTTCACAACGTTCTTAAATGGTTGGCCCAGACCTGCACCCAGCAGTCCAGGTGAGGCCCTGCCCTAATGCTCAATGCAGCAGGACAGTCACCTCTTTGACAGCCAGTGATGCTGGGCTTGATGCACCCAGGACGGGGTTTGTTGCCCGTCTGACTGCCAGGGCATACTGCTGGCTGCTACAGGGCCTGGTGCCCAGACCCCTCTCTGCAGGGCTGCTCTCCAGCCACACTTCTCCCATTTCAGACTTGCCTAGAATTTTTCTATCCCAGGTGCAGAATCTGGCATTTCAACTTGCCACTTTCATGTTACTGGTGATTGCCCAGTGTTCCACTCTATCCATATCCCTCTGCAAGGACTCTTGTCCCTCAAGAGAGTCAACAGCACCTCCTAGTTTGGTATCATCAGCAAACTTACTAGTGGTGTATTCACTCCCTGTATCCAGATCATTATAAAAATATGAACAAAACTGGCCCTAGAATTAAGCCCTGCAGGGCATTAATAGAGTTAAACAAGAAGTAGCTTCAAGTTTTCAGAAAGGGCAAATGTATAATTTAGTATCTAGAGAATCTGTCTTCAAATCGAACATATTTTGTGCTCAAAAGTAGTTAAGAAGTGGTTGTGTAACCTACCTAGATTATGGTTAGGTTACTGGTGAGCTATGTGTCTGTCAGGTAAAGGTTAAATTTCATTTTTCAAAAATTACACTAGAAATAGTGAATGAAATAATTAGCAGTGAGAGCAATTTCTCCTTAAGGTTGTCCTAGTAGAACCTGGTGGAAGACTCATTTTAAATACAGATCACACATATTTCTGAGCTTGTTAAAGTAATTAACATGTTTTAGTGGTGACCAGTAGTGGTTGATTTATGTTGTGCAGTAAAAGTGAACACATATTCATTGTTGCCAGTGGTCACCCTGGGGAAATCTACTAAAAGAAACTCCAGCAACATAAATCTCTCAAATGACACAAACCCCACCAGTTGGCACAGTAAACATTGAATCAACATGGCAGTGAGGAATGGGTGTCACCTGTAATGCCACTTTTAAGTGCAGTTACCACCTTTTAACGATTGATTCTCTGAACAAACAAGGCCACAAACTGCAACAAGAAAATGAGAGTAGAGCAGCAGTGGGAATGAGCAGCAGGTGGTGTAACCTTGGTGTGTGGTACTGCTGTGGCTTAAGCATTGTGGAACAAGTAACCTAACATTCAGAAATAGGATTTAAGTGTGTATATTGTCTTCATTGTTTGATTGCAGCACTCTGTTTATACAGGAAAGTGGCTACAGTTTAGAACAACTTGACCTTACCATGATGGTCTTTTCAGCTTGTAGTTTTTATCATGCTTTTAAAATTTGATCTTTCCTTGATTCAGTGTGATTGATATTTTGACCTCATAGTATTTTCCACTGAAGTAAGTCAGTGAAAAAGTCACACTATTAAAACAGAAGACGTTTTTGCCAAGTAATAGTATGTTTTCTTACATAATAGTGTATTTTTAATAATGTAATTATTTGTAAAACTAATGTTAAATTACTTGTACAATTATTTGTAAAAGATTTGTAAAACTACTATTAAACAGTTAAAAGAAATTACTCCTCATAGTTATCACAATAAAATGTGTCAGTTGCCCTGTAAAAAAAAGGAGAAGATAATTTTATATGGATGGTACATTCAAATATCAGCTATAGTATTTTTCAGTTTCTGCTATACATAGAGTGAATTCAGCCAATGGTGATAAACTACACCACTAAAATTAGAGATAGTCCTGTGATATTTGAAGTAGAATAGGGAGTGCTTGTTAAAAATGTCTACAGAAAATTTCAAGTGTTTTTACAAAGTATAAGTGGTGGTTTCCATTGCTTTCGTTTTGGCCATTTAATGTAGCTAATTAACTGTATGCCTTTTCTTACTGTGCATCACCTTGTCTCTGTCATTTTTCATGTATGTTTTGGATCTTCTGGCCCTCCAGTTAAATCACACTTAGGTTCTAATTTTTTTTTCTTTAATATTGTTGTTGCCACACTGATCAAAATTAAAATATCCACTGTTATTAAAAAAAAGAAAAGAAAGGGAATGGATGTGAGAGTATTCATACATTTGCATTTGAAGAAATTCTGCTTTGTATTTTAGTTATACTGTGTTTTCTTTTCGTTTTAAAAAGCAAAATTACTGTGAACAAATCTGCTTTTCCAAAGGCTGGATCCTGCAGTCTGTGTAACTCCTGACTCCATTTACTTTGACAGTGGGGAATATTCAAAGGGCAGTAAGTAGGGGAGATGTCCTGTCCCAGTGAAGCTAATAGCATAAAATCTATTGAATTATTTTTGTTTAGGATTAGATTCTGTGATTCCAGAGAGATAATGTTTTGTTTCTAATTCAGTTCTTACTGCAAGCTCTGCATGTCTCTTCCTAATCTAGTTGAAGGGAAAACATATGGAGGCCTTTCTTACAATTGTTTAGGAATTATTTTTTTTTACTTTATTCACTATTTTTTTGTTAAATCGGGGTTATTTTTATTTCAGTGCAGCTCACCAGTAATTCTGCTCATTTGAGCTCATTCTAAGCAGGTTGGAAGGTACAATGGACTTTGAGGCTGTGATCCTGCAGTATATATGCAAGCAAAATGACTTTTTGACCTCATTGAGGAAGTTTGTGTTCACTGGGACTCTGGAATGAGGCCTTTTAGTAGAATATGTGCCCTAGCCAGGAATAAAGCAGGCATTTCTATTGATCTGTAAGCAATCTGTCAAAACTTCTCTGATCAGGCTTTTTTACTATCCCATCTTGAGTCCTTTTTTTAATGACATCTATTATCAGATTGAAATGGCGATTGAGACACTGCAAAAGTCTGATGGTCTGTCCACTCACAGAAGCTCTCTTCTCAACAGTCATGTAAGTTGTCTCTTCACATACACTCTCTCTTGCTGGTTCTGCATGCTTAGCCTGCCTCTAAATGTTTGTTTTATTTTATTACTACTTTTTGCTCTTAATCTTCCCATCTTAGTTGCTTGTAATCTTTTACTACACCTCCCATGGCTTTATTTTGTCAGATCAAATGTCTTTATGGTATATTGCAGAGTGCTACCTGTTTCCTATGCTTTACACCTGTGTTAAGACAAGTTAACACATTTGACTGTTTTGCGGGTTATGGTGTAAATGTCAAGCTAAGGTTCAATTAATTCTAACTTAGCTGGCCTCTGCCATGTTAAATAAAGTTGTCTACAAAGTAAAGTCTGTGTACCCTGTACTAATTTAGGGGCATGTGAAGAGGAAGAGAAGAAACAAACAGCATGCCTAAATAATATATTTAGATTATTTCTAGGTGTTTCTTCATTTATTCTGACTAGAGAGTTTATTAGAAAGTTACTTACTTAAGAATCTTAAAGATCCTTACAATAACCTGGTAAAACCTAAAATATTGTCTTAATTTGAAGTACATAGAAATGTCTTATTCAGCTGCCTTTTAATTTATTCTCACTTTGCAAGTTTTGCAGTTAAGAACTTTCCATAATCAAAGCTGAAAGATATTTGGGCGAAACCATGATCTACAAATACAGTGATAATTTCATTATATGTAACTTTAAAATAAAGGAAAAAGGCCCAAAATTAATTTTAAACTTACTATATATATATATGAATATTACTTTGTAAGTTGTTAGTCTTTCCTGAAATTTTTTTCTGTTGGTATTTGTGGGTTTGTATTTTTGCCATGTTGATTGGTTTGTATTCATCTTACTTTTTTCCTTCTCAGCTTTACGTATTATATAAGTTCAAATTACTTTATTGTCTTACAGAATAAATTTAAATTTAGTTTGCAGTCTTAAATGTAAGAATACGGTGGCAGAGACTGTTCCTCAGAAATAAAACTAAAACTGAATGTGTTAAGAGGTTTGAATATTGGGGTTTTTTTCTGTAGGGTTCTGCTTATGTCAATGTCAAAAATCAAAAATTTTTAGTGGAAAATTTAAGCTAACTATTTTTAGGAAATCTAAAATTGGAAGGGGAAAATTGTATTATAAAAAGTTACGCGAAGTGATAGACAGAAGGTTTCCACCTTGTGTATTTACAAAATAATTTTTTTGAAGATAAGACAGTGTCAACATTATTATTTGATACATAGTATTAGACATATAATATCAAAATTGTTTGAATGTAATTTTTCAAGGGACCATAACTTTTTTGGCAAAGGTTTAGAAATCTATGTTAAGACTTGGAACACTAGAACTGTTGCTAAGTTTGCATTTATTCCTGTTATGAAGACCAGAATCATGGTATAAAAACAAGAAAAAGTACAAGTTAAGGTGCAATGCCTCGGTAAACTGTTTCACTCATTGCTGGTGCTGTGCTCTGTTCACAGTATGTTCCCAATGATGAGATTTGCGTCCAGCTATGGAGGCTTATCAAGGTGTTTCTTTCTTATCTATGAAGGCTTTCTGAAGATTATTCTGATAGAGATGTTATCTCTGTGGGGAAAAAATGCTAAAAAAACCCTTGTGCGTGATTTTTGGCAATCAGTGTTTTCTAATTTTGGTCATTTTGAAAGAAGTTCAAAATCTAGTTCAAATTTACTGGATGTTTTACCTGTTTCTAAAGCAATACTGTCTTTAAACTCAAGGACAGTATGGAGGAAGTTTGAATGCAGGTTTAGTCTTTGTCTCTTCAAACTTTCCTTGATTTTGAATTACAGCGGTTTGGCATTAGTAAGACAACTAGGTTTATATTTAGAATAGAATTCTAAATTGTGTTGATGCCAAGAAAAGGCTGGAAAAGAACTACTCACAGACTTGTATCTCTGAGTAGCAGGTATTTGTTTATTCAGCACTGGGCACAAGGGGGATCACTCCACCAAACTTGTGCAGCCAGGGACAAAACTTCATGGTTTTTATCCATTAAATGCTCATACATGTTAATTATTAATTGTCACCATCCCCTCCCTCAGCCTGCGCTTAGTGGCCCTTTAGGGCATATTTCCCTTTTTTCACTTAGCTGGCATTTCCTGGCCCTTTAGGGCTTACTTCTCTTATCAGGGTGTCTCGTTAACTTGCACTTTTCAGATGATAACTTAATTTGCGGGGGGAGGGGGTGGGGGGAAAGCTTGGGGATTGGAATTTTCATCCTATGATACCTCAGCGAGGTTTCGTAGGAATGTTTTTTCCTAAATAGAAGTATGCTCATTTTGAGGAGTTTGCAATTGATTTTCTGATTTCATTTATTTCTGCATGAGATTGACTTACTTAATTAGTTGATAGTTGAATGTTTTATAAACATTGCCACTTAATCGGAGTCTGAAAAGATTTCATACCTTTCCCCATTCCAGTATGGCCAGTGCTGCAAATTTAAAAGCCATGATTCAAACCTGAACAGTTTTAGGACTGTATTTCAACTTGAAAAAAAATGTTTGGGTTTTTAAAAAAAAGTGCTTGCAATACTGTTTGGAGACAATTTTCTTTTACAGTTACTTTAATGGTACTTTTTCTTCCAGGCTATAATCTGTCAAGTAATGTTTCAAGCCCTTGATACAAAGTAACTCTTACCAAGAGCAAAAATCTTATATTGCACTTAACTTCTGATCTGTTTTTTTTCTGTGTGTTGAATAATGCAAGTTATGTTTGAAATAACATCTGATGGAAATTCATATAATTAATGAAGTGTACTTGAAGTGATTAATAATAGCTTAGAAACCATCTGGAGGAAAATATCCTTAGTGCTACATACAGAACTTAATTACAAAATAATTATTTTTGTTTGCCAGTCTCTTGAGATTGACAAAGTTTTTCCCTTTGGGGAAAACAGAAATACTTCACATTCTGTATCTGTTCTGATCAAATTCTAGATGTAATAATATATAACAAATGTTATATAAATGTATAGATAGAAATGTAGATGTAATAACAGATTTTAAATATAAATAGATTGCAATAGTTGAAAGACATAATTACCCTTGCTTCTTAGCCCAACAGGCTTGCATCAGGTCATTAGTGAAACAAGTTTAATACGTTCAGACAAAAGTCAGTGTTTGCAATTACACTTATTCTTCAGCTTTATTTCCAAAGGCCAGATGCTCAGTGTGGAAGCACTTGTGACTATTAAGACATAGAAAATAATGATACGGTTAACTGATTATTAACTGTACATGTTCATTTTGTTTATTTTTTATGGAAAATTATGTGCACACCAAGCTAAAATTTTTATGCCTTGGAAGCATGTACATCTTACTTCTCTATTTTTCTAGAGCTTAGAAAATTTTAGGGGAACTAAAACTGTGACAGGTACTGGAGAAAGATAAGTGTCCTAGTTTACAATGTAGGGTGTAACCAATGGTATGTATTCTATTATAGTCTCACAAACTGTTAAAGCAGGTAGGGGCTTTATCTCCTACTCATCCCTGATGGCTCCCTCAGGGGCTGTCTCTGTTTAATGGACTGTCAGGGACCCAGGCATGACCCATAGAATTACATCCTCCCATTGGGATGCTTCACCCTAAGGGGAGCCAAGCATTCCCAGATGGGGTGGGGAGCCCAAGCATTCCCACAGGGATATAAGCTGGGGTTTGGACCAGCACAGAGCCCTTTGCCTGCTGGATTCCCAGAGGACAAGGGCTGCCACTTGGACCTTCAGGTGAGGACCAGACCTGTGGGATCACTGCTCCAACAGACCCATCACTCCAGGAAGACTTCAGCCACCATTTAATTGGACTACTACCAAAACCCTGACTGACAGGGAGTTAGGTTACTTTCTGACTCTTGACAGTGATTGCTTTTTGTCCTGTTGCATTTATTGTTTTATTTTTCCTTATTAAATTGGATTTCTGACTTTGGAGTTTCTCACTGGTTCGCTTTCAAACCAGAACATATTTTGGTGCCCAACGTGGGGCTCAATACTGAGAAAAAGTCAGAATTACAATTTTAGTATTGCGGAAGTCACCTATTCACTATGATGCTAAAAATGCTTACATTGGTCTTGTACCTAGGTATATTTTTCCGCACATGGGGGGGAAGTACCTGCCGGCTGTAATACTCCTGTATGGACCAGGGTATGGTATGAGAATTGCTT